GGGAGGCTGAGGCAGAAGGATCACTTGAGCCCAGGAGTTTGAGGTTGCTGTGAGGTAGGATGATGCCACGGCACTCTAGCCCAGGCAACCGAGCCAGACTCTGTCTCAAAAAAAAAAAAAAAAATCAAATCCTGCCTTGAAGCAAGATGATAATGAACCATCATCAGATACAACAGCTGTTACTGCTCACAAACAGTTATCTTTGACCCTCCTAAATTATTGATCTATTAACAGCATAGCATGCAGCACTACATTCCATATACTAACTACACAAAATATTCAAAAGCCTTATGTGGAGTTACAACTTACTTTAGGGGATCTTCTTGATCACTGTCTATGCTATCAGCTTCACTGTCAGGGTCACCTCTCCATGTCTGATCCACAGTAATGGGTTCCTGCTCCCCATCACTCCAGCTGTCTTCATCTGAGGCAAGGAAGGGAGAGCGGCCATTAAGACTTCCCACCTCTGTAACTCCACCACACCAAACTAGATTACTTAACATATTAATCCAAACCTTAAAATTAAAAAAAAAACTTAGTACAAAGGCACTGGCAAATAAAAACGCTTAAACTACAACCCAGGTGAAGATTATTTACAACATAAATGAGTTAACCACGCCCTCTCGAAAGAACAGAAAAGCCAATTTATAAATTATTCTTGTTTTCTGAAATTACTTTACCTAACAAAACTGTTAAGCACAAAAACAGCAATGAAGGAAAATGTCACCAATCCAGGGGAGTAAACCTAAACAAATGCTACTTCAAATTCAAAAGAATTGGTAAACAACATAGCAATCCTGGAATGCTCGCTGAAGTCCCAATGAATAAAAAATAACATTGCCAAATATATTCAAAGTACTGTACTAAATTAAACTACGTTCTTTCCTAATTTTCGTCCACCTTTTTCATTCTAGGAGAGAAGATCCTTACCCAGTATTCGGCTGGCTTCACTGCGGCTACTTTCTGGAGTCTGAGACCCCAGCTCTGTCTTAGCATATGAGCTCAGCTGGCACAAGAGTGTTTCACCCACAGGCCCTGGGTTCGTCTTCTTCATTTGAGCATGAAGTGCCAGGGCATTCCTACGGGCATGTTCAGCACAGAAGGACACCCTAAAGAAACAAGACATTAATAGTTATAGGTCCCTTCTTGAAAGGGTTCAGTGATTTCCTTGGTCCCAAATCTTTAGATCATTTTTATGAAATTAAAATGCCTATTATATTCATTTCTAAAAAGGCCAGTTTAGTCAAAGGAATTTAACTGGCCGAAGGTCAACTCATTTGATGTTATTAAAGGGAAATGCAGGCAGCATTATCCAGTGCTCCAACAAACAAAACATTCCAACTATAAAAATGTTGACATCATCTCATAAATCATGCACACTTTCATCTTTCAAAACTGGTTCTGGAAGGCTACTCAACATTTTAATATTAATCCAATGTAGGTAATAAGATATGGGACACAATTTTAAAACTACAAGATATTATCCAGTCATTACGTTTTTGCATGGATACCTTTGTGTATATGATGAAAGCTATAAGCCTCTTCCAGAATATACACATATACAATTTTGCATGTTATTTAATAAAGTTCATGGACAGCCAAAAGAGCCACGCATCCCTGCACTAAAAATAATTTAGAATATCCCTTCATTTTACAAATAAGGAAAAAGATCTAAAGAGAGGAACTAAGTGACCTAACTCAAGTGTCCTTCCAGTTTTCACCGTTTCAATGTTGTTTTTTTTTTATTTTCAAAAGATATATACATAACCCCAATTCTAAAAGCACATGACCTAAAACTTGGCAGCTATGCTCAAGCCCACATCATATCACATCCTACTCTCTCACTTTAAGACACACACATTTCTCTACATATACATACCCATCTTTCTTCTCTGGCTTTGGGGCAGCACTGGGACATCTTTTTCCATTCTTCGTCGATATATAACTACACTGCTTGAAGGGTGCATTCTTGTCTTCAAGGATATGCTTAATGCAAAACTCCTGCCCCTCCAGACGAGGTTGAGAGCATGGGCGATGAGTAAAGGAACACGACAGGGGCTCCTGAGATCTGGACACTGGGGTGATCCTCCCCCGATTGGTTGGCAAGACGTGAATCCGAATCCTGTTCATACCAAACCTGCAGAATCAAACGAAAGATCAAAAAGCCCCCACCCTTCCAGGAAATTCCTGCTCTACAATATCCAGAGAGATCGCAGATAGTTTCTACAGGACCGGAAGAAATGGGCCCCGCAGGATACGCTCCGTAACTCCTCACCGCCCTCCCCTAAGTCTTCACAGGCATTTTTGTGACTCTTCCTCCCCTTAACTTCTCCCATCCGGCCCGGAAGATACGTTGAAAGTATCTTCAGGACTCGCACGACTGCAGCACGAGCGGAAGCTACGGAGCCTGGCCCACGAGGCGGCCACGCCGCAGCACCGCGCCCCGCCCCGGCCTCCCTGCACGCCGCCTTTGTCCCGTCCCGCCTCAGAGATCACGACTGGGCCGGGCCAAGCCTCGGCTGCCCGTGTGAACGCCATTTTGTCCTAAGGCTCCGGCCACCGGAGAACCTGGCTCCTGGGATCCTGTAGGAAGGAGATTGATTCCGACATTGCTTGAGGCGAAGTAGCAGCTCCAAGCCAACAGAAAGAGGGAAGCAGCAGCCTAACAGCAAGGTCTAAAAGCATGCAGCACCGCCATCTTACCTCGGGCGCCGCGCTCTGCCGCGCCAGCCGCTCTTAACTCGGCCCCGCTCCTTTCCGCGCTCCTAAGTGCTGATTGGCTACTGCTCCGATGACGCTGTGTCGCCATTGGCCGAGGCCTGCTCTGAGGGAAGGCGGAGCTCTGAGAAAATGCGCGGCTTGGGTGGCTAAGACAGACTGTCTGTCAGCAACTCTGCTGGGAGGAGAAGGAGCCCAGAAACCCGGCGCAGGGCTGCCTGCTGCGTGGTCTGCCGGCTGCGGATATTTTCCATCTCACAGCGTGGCTCATTTTCAGGTAGCTTTTGGACCCCGGGTATGTAGTCCTAGACTGCTACTATCTTATCATTCATACACAGAGGCTAGAGAATCACTGTACATTTGACTCCTACACATGAAAAAGCTTTAATTTTCTTTTATGAACAGTTTAATACATTTACTGAACATTTGATGTAGAGCACCCTGAGAAACATTTTTGGGATGTGTATTATGAGTAACGTAATGGGGAATTACATGTATAAGTCATTTAATTTTTTACAGCAACCCTAAGAGGTAGAAACAATTATTACCTCTATTTTACAGAGAAGAGGACCGAGGAACATAATGGGCCCATAATTGGTAAATAGGAAAAGGAGGCAAATTTGAACCGAGCCTCATCCTTTATTCCTTATTGCCTCTCATATAATAAAGAGAACTGGACTGAGAATAAGGAAATATGAGTTCTAGTTTAGGCCCTGATTCTCTAAAATTCTCTACAATTCCATGCTAAATAATGCAGGTATTACAGAAATGACAGACACAATACCAATTTTATCATTCTTTAAGGGTTTTAAGTTAAAAGCATCTCTCCTCTGTCATCTCCACCACTTTGTCTTGTAAAAATAATCCAACACTTTCTTCGCATGACCCTTCTAGACATTTTTTGCATCCCAGCCTCCCTTAATCTGCTGTCAATTCCATTTAAGATGTTTTAGCCATGATGCATGAGCAGGGGGACGTGATTAACAGTGGAGGTGAGCATAGAGAATCTACAGCCCTCAAGAAATGTACGTTTAGGGACAAGAAATGATTAAAACAAAAAAAAAGTATGTGAGGATGATGCTGTTTCCAGAGACTAGGGCAGCCTTAAAATAAAGCACTTTCCTGAAATTCATTCATTCAACAAGTATTTATTGATCACCTAAGTACCAGGCACTGGGGATACAGGAGAGAACAAGAAAGATAACCCTGCTCTCCAATTCAAAACCAGCTGGAGGCAGTCACATTACAGAAAATTTGAGAATCAGAATCTGCAACCAAATGTGATAATATCAAAAATTAATATTAAAACTACTCTAGGCAGGGCACGGTGGCTCCCGCCTGTAATCCTAGCACTCTGGGAGGCTAAGGTGGGAGGATCACTTGAGCTCAGGAGTTCGATACCAGCCTGAGCAAGAGCAAGACCCGTCTCTACTAAAAATAGAAAAAGTCGGGAGTGGTGGCACATGCCTGTAGTCTCAGCTACTCTGGAGGCTGAGGCAGGAGGATCGCTTGAGCCCAGGAGTTTGAGGTTGCTGTGAGCTAGGCTGATGCCACGGCACTCTAGCCCAGGCAAAAGAGTGAGACTCTGTCTATAAATTAATTAATTAATTAATTAAAACTAGTGAAAAATGTCAAGAGATACAGGAATAGAGATGCAACAAGGATTTTCCTTTAATGAGAGGATCTGCTGAAGGTCTTAGTTGAAAAAAAAATCTTTCTGCTAAGTCCAAGACAGACAAAAAATTACTATTTAGAACCACTTTTAAGTGGAGGGAGGGAGAAGATATTATTAAAGGGTCAAGACATTGGCAAATTCTTTGTGCTGTTTAATAAAGTAGATGGCTATTTTTAATTCACTGAACACTTTGCTAGCTATTGCAGAGGTTAAAGTGGACTAGAAGCTGTTTATAATAGGGGATGGGAAAGAGGAACTCTTGAAGGAAAGGGATTTTTGAGAATTTTGAGTTTGGGGGGCTAATCTTAGAGAAAAGTGAAAAAAGGGACAGTAGAAAATGAGCTAACAGTGTGATCTGGTGCTGTAGGAGCAGCTGGGTTAGTTTTAAAAAAAAAATAGAAATCTTTGTATCAGAAGAGAACTTTCGCAAGGTCTCACCACACCAACTCAAAGCCTGTGATTCAGCTAATATTCTCTCCCTTTCTTCCAGTTATTGTGACTTAACTGCCCTTGGTTCTATTAGAGGCAAAATCCTCCACTTGTGCACTAGATCCCATTTCATCTACTCAAGGACATCACTCCGAGTCTCCCTTCTCTCCCACATCTACTGGATCTTTCCTATCTAGCATATATGCATGCTGCAGTTTCTCCCATTTTAAAAATTTTTATCATACCTCTTCCTCCAGCTACTTCCCCATTTCTCTTACTCCTCTTTATAGTAAAACTCAGAAGCGTTATCACATGTCTCCAATTTCTCTCATTCTTTTTTTTTTTTTTTTTTTTTTTTTTTGAGACAGAGTCTCGCTTTTGTTGCCCAGGCTAGAGTGAGTGCTGTGGCGTCAGCCTAGCTCACAGCAACCTCAAACTCCTGGGCTCAAGCAATCCTTCTGCCTCAGCCTCCCAAGTAGCTGGGACTACAGGCATGTGCCACCATGCCCGGCTAATTTTTTCTATATATTTTTAGTTGTCCGATTAATTTCTCGTTCTTGCTCAGGCTGGTTTCGAACTCCTGACCTCAAACAATCCGCCTGCCTCGGCCTCCCAGAGTGCTAGGGTTACAGGCGTGAGCCACCGCACCCCAGCCTCTCATTCTCTCTTGAACCCTCTCCAGTTAGGTTTTCCCCAACACCAAATTGCTAGTCAAGTTTATCAATGACCTTCACCTTGTTAATTCCAATGAAGTTTTCAAGCCTGATCTTACTAGACCTTTTTGCAACATCTGACACACTTGGCCATTCCCTCCTCCTTAAAACACTTTCTAGATCTCCATTCTCTTCCTAGTTTTCTTCCTACCTCACAGTCACCCATTCTGTCTCTTTTTTTCTCTTGTTCCTCTTTTCCCCAAATTCTGAGCACGGGTCACCTCTCTTCTCTACTAAGATTCCCTTGGTTATCTCACTCTATCTCATTCCATTCAATAACCTCATGACTCCCAAATGTTTATCTCCAGCCTGGACTCCACCTTTGAACTTCGCTCTATATCCATCTGTCCAGTAGACATCTCCACTTGGATGTCTAACTGGCATTTCAAATTTAATGTTAAAGCCAAACTCCTGCTAGTCCTGTAGTCATCTCCACCTCAGTATATAACTCCATCCTTCCAGTCGGTCAGGCCAAACACTGGGAATCATCCTCAACTTCTTTCTCTTCCCCCTAATAGCAAATCCTATTGGCTCTATCTTCAAGATATATCACTTCTCATTGCCTTGAGCACGTCTAACCTGTCTAAGATCTCTTACCTAAATGTTGTGAGACGCTCCTTGCCCTTGACTACTATAATCTATTTTCAACATGGCAGATCAGATGAACATTTTAAAACCTAAGTTGGATGTCACTTCTCTGCTCAAAATTTTCCACTGGTGTCTGTTCCATTCATTCAGTCTTTATGCAAGGCCCTGCTGTATCTGCCTTTCTATTGCCCCTCTAACCTCATATCCTGTGACTCCTCCCATCACTCATTTCCATACCAACTACTCTGGCCTCCTTGCTATTTCTCAAACATGCCAGTATATTTACATCTCAGAACCTTTGATGTTTCAGAGGTTTCCTGGAACAATCCTGGAATGATCTTATCCCAGCTATCCAATGGCTTGCTGTCACTGCCTTCAGGTCTTTGCTAAAATGTAACCTAATGAAGCCTTCCCTTGCCACCTTTTTTCCAATTGTATCAACCCTTCTTACCTACACAAACACACACACTCCGGACCCCATCCCCTTTTCCCTGCTTTACATTCTCCAAAGTACTTATCACCATTTAATATACTGTTTTTACTTATCTGTAAATTCTTTGAAGGCATAATGCTTGTTTACTGACATATTCCCAACAGTAAACAGTCCATAGTACTTAGAAAGGCATATCTAATATTCAATTTTAACTTTTTTTCACTGTGGTTTTTTGGTTATCTGTTGGTTTTGAGCAGTTATGTGAAGGGGTTCAGATTCCACAGTACAAAAAAAAGTAGCACAATTAGGACAATGTGACAATCCATAAACTAAATCAATGTAGCAAAAAGGGCCCCAGAGGCAACGATTACTATTAATACAGCCTCTAAGAGAATCCACAGGAGTCAAAAAAAGTAGCACAAGTAGGACAATGTGACAATCCATAAACTAAATCAATGTAGCAAAAAGGGCCCCAGAGCCAACGATTACTATTAATACAGCCTCTAAGAGAATCCACAGGAGTCTCAAAGGCTTCAAACATTCTACAGAATGTTGAGTGGTAGAGATCAAGACAATCTTATTGAGCTCTCAGTGTTCAGGAGACCCAGATATGCTGTAAGCATTAGTCATTAAAAGGAAGCCTAGCTCTATATTGATTAGTTTAACAAACCCTTTAATTGGGGGTCCAGCTGTACTTAAACTTTAAATTGATTTACACCTCATCTATTCCCAAGGATACACCAGACCAGAATTCCTACACTGTCATCAACTTCCATAACATTTCAGATTATATATATATATATATGGAGATTTATATGTATTTCTGAAATTATGTAAATATATATATTTTAGAAAATGGGAGAACGAATGAAAAGAACTCGTGACTTTTTTCAGAAGTATGTATCTCCCTGTTAAATTTCTTTTTTCCTTTTAAAGCTTTCAAACTATAGCTACTGCTAACTTTGTGTTATAAATTTGGAGTATGTCAGCATAAAAGTTCTTTCCCTGTAAGTGTGTAATTTAGAAGATTTACCTCGCACGTGTGGTTTTATTATGTCCCAGGACCAGGTAAGTATTCACTATCAGTTTTTCCGGGCACCATCAAGAGTGTTAATTTTTTCCTTCAAAGCATATTTTCTTCCAAATATATTGCTATGTCTACAACACTTCAGGTTTTTCAAAGAACCAAGGATACAATTATGAATTGTGTTAATAGTGCTTGCTAGATAAGCAGTACATGTAGCTATGTTAGAACTATAATTTTTTTTTTTGCGTACAAGTTACTCTTCCAGGTATTCATTCAACAATAAAGAGTGAGAGTTTTTGACTACAACATAATTTATACTACCAGGTTCACTGTGATGACCAAATCTTTAGGTCTTTCCAGTGGACGCAATTTCCACAGGATCTTGTACAAGAAAGAATATACTAATATCAAAATTGAAGCAAAATTATAATAATATCAATAAAATGACAGTCGAAGACTAAGGATAATATGAAGACTCAGTACACACAAACAACAATCAGATGAGTGTTTTATCATTAACGTTTATTGATGGGATGGATAAATACAGATTGAGAAACATACTTGACAGCAAGATATCAAACTGATAGCCAGACTATAAAATGTATACAACATCCTTTTTTAAAAATTTTTTGAATTTTTTACAAAGAGCCCTTACTTACATCCTATCATTCACATAACAGCAGAGATCCCAGGGGTAGCATCCAGAACTGAGATGCCCCAAGGAAGACAGAGGCAATAGCAGAATATGCTGAGAAAGGACTCTTAAGAGGACTACAAAGATAACAAAAAATCTCACCACAAAATTGTACCTGAGTGACACAGATTGGTAAAGTGTTTTACTTTTTTTTTCCTTTTTGCTCTTTGGTCTGATAAGAAAACGGACAGTTTTAGGTGTGTGAAGTAGGGTGGGAAAGGGTCAGTTTCGAATTCAGAAACCTAGGTTAACACTAAGTTAGGCTGCTGCATTCTTTTCTTTGGGTGCTTAAGCTAGCCAGCACTTTCACATAATTGCATTATGATCAACAACTAATCAGTTAGTTCCTCAGCTTCAACTGAAGAGTTCCTGATTACCTGATGGAGGACATACTTGCTCTGGCTTCCATTAGTATGCTGTCAAGCATCCCTCTCCATGCTTAACATGGCAACACAAAACCCAAGAGCCTTTCTCTTCATTCAGCCATGAATACACACTCGTAAAGGAGAAGAACAGATACTGCTTTTTAGTAAACATTCTTTTTCTTTACCTCCCTTTTCCAATACCAAGTTCATATTAAAACCTTTAGCAACATTAAAAGGGAGAGCTCTTCCACATAAAAAATAATTTCCATTCCAGACCACTCTATTAGGTAGGATTAGAGTACCATGCTTATTTCAAACTCGCATCCACAGAGGGGTAAAAAGACAAAATAAAACTTATAAGTGTGGTACAACATGAATATTTCCTAAACCATCAGGAGCAAACACTCAGTTAAGAGCTCGGTGTTAAGCAACAACTCAAGAAATTTGGGGAGGTATCAAAGACACCAAAAGCTTAGTGGAGGCTATGAACAGAGGGCGATTTCTCACCATCTGATGGATTGCATAGACTGCTTAAATTCTCCCAAATCTGAAAGAATAATATTTGTATTCCCACTTTAAGATGTTCTAGACCTTCCCTTGTCCCAGCATTAGTATCAAAATAACTCAACAGAAGAAAAAAAATTTTAAAAATAAATAAAATAATCAATTCCCCAAATAAGGGAAATACAAATATGTTTAAAACCCAACCATACTGGGATACATAATGCCCCTCTAATTGCCTTTTACCAGAAGCAAGGTATGAGGAGTATACATTTCAATATGAAGAATTAGGTAGCAGAAGTTTAAGAAAACCCAGCAGTGATGTTACCATGATTTCTATATCTAATCCATTGCTGTTGTTTCCAACTAGAGACTTAAAATTTTTCTGTCAACACTGGTGAACCCAATAATACAGAACTATATCGTATACACTAAAATCACTTTTAAAAAAGAAGAAAAGGGAAGTTAAGGAAATACATTGATTCATGAATGAGAAGACTAGACTAACACCTAAGTATTTTCTAAACCCCAAAAACATAACTGATATTTTAGAAGACCAATTTCGCTTTAGATTAATGTTTCACTAGGGTTCTAACATCAACACAGGTATCTGATTTAAAAACTCTAAGAACAATCCACAGGTATCTGTTTTTGTCAACATGAGAGTCAAGCAAAGTTTCAGAAATGAGATTTATAGAACTTGAGGCTCCAGGCCTACTTACCACCTTCACTTATCTTTGACAGTCTAAGCTAAAAGAATAAACAAAAAGCCATATTTACTAGACTAACTTTGGATGTATAAATCCCATTTCTTACCCTTTGAAGGTGTGAGGATAGGAAAGACACACACAACTCAGAAACCACACAACCCAAACTCAATTAAAACACAGTAAGGTTTTAATTAAGTTTATGGAATTTGGATGATACACATGCGAGTTGACAGGTCCATCTGCTTACCCAAAGACAGCAGCTTCATGAAGAACCTATAAGGAGGTTCATGACATATGCATAGATCTAAAAGCAGATACTGTAGGTATCTTAAAATGGTACCAGGAGGCATTAATATAAAAGATCACTAAAGCAACCTGTATCAGCAATGATCTACTAGTGCAAAGGTCAGTCTACACAGCATAACGCAGCTCTTAAGCCTTTGTAAGCACTTTTGTCTCATTCATTCCTGACAACATTGTAAGGAACTTAACTACAGTACTGCCATGAAGAACTGCTATAAAGTCAAATGGATATGCACCTTTGTGGTGAAGGAGTGCATGTGATTTAAAAATATGTGACATTTGATAAGAATAATTAAAAGCTAGAAAAGACATTTTTCACAATCAAAGCAGTGATCATCAATTCCACAAAGATACAGATGCAAACTAAATGGCATATTCCCTTTGGAAAAGCCAGGAAGGGAAACAGATGCTACCAAACAGAATCTAAATAAATAGGAAGCCTAAATTTAGTAAACACAAACACTCATCTACCAATTATTTGGCACAACAAAGAAAATATGAAGGGGAAAGAGGAAAATGTCATCTATAAAAGTGAAGTGACACACCAAGAAATATTAATGGTTTAGAGGTCAAGAGCTCCTTGTTTTAGCCAGCAATGGCAGATAAGTCAAATACACAGAGATGCAAGACACCAACCCCTTCCTACAAATTCCTTTCTATATTAGGCCAGTACATCATCAATTCCAACTGCTTTAGTTTTCTTCCCAAACTATTTCTGCCAAGCAGCAGCACATGTATAAGTCCGTTTCCCCATGACTTCCAATGAAAAGAATTCAACTTCTCCCTAAAGACTATTTGGTGTGAAGGAAGCTGCATTAAAAACAAGACAACAAATTCAAATTGCACCATCTCTTCTAGAGCAAAAAAATGCCATGAAAACCAAAGAATATCCCATCAAATGATCTGTGGCTAGGTGGTTTTGAATTAGACAGCTTGGCTTAGAATTCTTTCCTCATTAAAAATGTTTGCTCCTAATATATGGGATAATCAAGCCCCCATAACAAAAGGACTTCTGACTTATTTTTTAAAGGACTCTTAGAAATCTCAAGAACTTCTGTCTAGAATCTAAAGCCACCAAAGATGAACAATCTGAACACAATAGTATCTGTTTGCTAGGTTTGCTTGCTCTCATGGCATCAGTACTTTTAAATTGACCAGCTCCAATCTCTCAAGTAATATAGGTGGCAAAAACCTGAGGATACAGCTGTTTCCCTTCAGATACACAGATTAAAAAAAAGCAAGTCTTACACTCATAATTTAAAACACAATGTCCTAAAAATTCCAAAGCACAATTTCATTGTTTTTAGTATCCCCTAGTTCCATGGCTTCTCCCAGAACTACTACTCTCACATATGGTCTGGGCTTTCATAGGCAGGATATATATAGCATATCCCCCTTCCCTTCACAGCCCCTGAGATTGTTCTCATTTGAACACTTTCCCAAAGCCCAACTTCAAAACAGACACACCTAATTCTGTAGGGCAGAAGCTGGCCTTGCCCACCAATCCTCCTTCCTCAACCACTCCTCAGTTTTGCATCAAAATGCAAAGAGGGGTAAAAAGGAAGTTTTCATAATGAAGTTAAGAGTCAGGCCATAGGCAGCACTTGCCCAAACTAGAAATTAGGGGGCTACTACTCAATTACAACATAAAGAAAGGGGAAAATGACAAGTCAAATACAAGCCTCTTCCTTCCTTTATGTTCTCAAGGTTAACCGTGGTCTCTCTAGTAGACTGTTGGGAAGTGAAAACAGTAAGGGATAGGGAGGGAAAGATAAGACATGATTTTTAAACACACACACTTAAAATACACATACCCACACTTACATACACTTAAAGGTCTCAACACTTCAAGTGGCCGGTGCCTACTTCAGAACTCTTGGCCAAAAAACCTACCCTCCCACCCGCCCTGCACAAATTCCCACCCTCCAATCCCACCCACCAGGAGTCACTGCTATGTATCTCATACACACAGCAAAATCCCTATCCCCTCCCCGATTATATAAAAAAAAACTAAACAGATAACTTACTTTCTTTAAATTATTTTTTTAAAGTCTCTTAAAAGATTTTGACATTTAAATACTTCCTCTCTTCTGATATATTAAACACCAAAAGGATCCACAATTGTTTGATAAAACAAACCCTCTATATTTCAGTTCTGGTAAGAAGAGGGAAGATACCAGCTGCAATCAACCTAATTGGAAGGTGGAGAGGCCCAAGAATAGAGAAAGTGTTCTTAATCCTTCACAGCTTCAACACATTCCCACCTCTCTAATACCAGTAAAATTGTAATAAAATAGTTAAACGTATGAGATAGCAGATATAATAACCAAGGCCCTCCACCACCCTCCCACTTATGTCTCAGTATCAATTTATTCCCTAGTCCAAGAAGGGTGACATATTTCATAAGGGAAGTAATTTTCTTAACTCAGAATCAGTAGTCAAAAAAACAAAAAAAAAAAACACGTTTTTTAAAGAAGTTTTTTTTCTCCTCTTCTTTTTCTTTTTTACTTAGGAAGGGGTGGAAGTGGTGGAGGAGGTTCTGATGGTAAAGGTGGTGGCCGGGGTTTGTCTGTATTGCCAGATCTAGAGATCCCACCAGCCCGTGGATTCAGATATTCACCATAAGAATGAACAAATTCAAATGCAGGGGGCTGAGTGGGCTGAACACCCTGGGCACTGAGCAGAGAGTGAAGCATATTCACAGTATCTTGATAGTCTATCGTCTGAGTTGTGTTATGACCATTGGCTCCACTGGGCCCTTTATCCAGTTTCATATGAGAAACTCGAGTTTTACAGCTGGGCTGTGAAAAGGGAAGGCCACTTGTGTCTGAGCTATGCCCAGGTAACTGGGCCATTGTAGGAAGTGGAGGAAAGGAGAAACTTACAGAAGAGGATTTACTACTCTTGGCAATCTTGGCTGGATGATCAAACACTGGCCCTCCAGTCTCTTCAGGGGGCCCCCTTTTACGAGTAGAACTGGAAGAGGAGAAAGAACTAGATAAGCTATAGGTTTTGTGTGCTAAGGTGCTTGTCTGGCTACTATGTTTTGGATCACCTGGACGTTTATTCCCAGTACCAACTGGAAGCTGTGCGTGAGAGTGCTTGTGTGAGTGGTGATTATGATGATGATGATTAGATGGGTGAGTCTTGTGCTTTTCTTTGTGCTCTCGGCTCTTTGTAACACTGTCATCTACAGAATTGTGCTTGTCAGATGCAGCATGAACTTTAATGCGCATTTTTATCTCCTCTGGTTTTGAAGAGGCAGCTTTATCTCCACCGGCCACTGGGATTCTCATTTTGAGAGCTGTTTTGTCAGCCTTTTCCAGAAAAGGCCGTTCAGGGTTTTCTGAACCCTCTATGGGTATTTTCAGAATGACTGAAGAATGGGTATCATGGTGAGACAGGAGATTCTGGGCAGCGTATGCATATTGTGACTTCACATTGGCCTCCATGTTCTCCAATTGTCTCTTCTGGGCTGCCAACTCTTCTGCATGCTTTGCACGGTATTCTTTCAGTGACACTTTAGCCGATGGTACGCTCTTACCACTCTGCTTCTGGGAAATAAATGCATTTGAACCATCCTGTTGCAAGGAATGATCAACTCCTATAAGTGCTAAATTCTCACTAGTCCGATGAGCCTGAGCAGGTTCTAGTTTAAAAGGAGGTTGAGAGGACAGCCATCGCTCGCCCTGCAACATCTCCACACTGGTTAAGTTGCTAGATGACTCTTCAGAGACTGGAAGGGAAGGCACTGCACTTGTGGTAGAAGTTGACATGCTCATTAAACCTGCAATAGTTGTGTCTGAAGAGCTCTGGGAAATCATACTGAGGATTGTCTGCTCTGAAGTGTTTTCATCTGCTCCTCGGTCATCTGCTTTTGTTTTCCTGGCAGCCTGCCATGCCTAGAATGAAGCAAATAACATTTCTTCACTTGAGGTAATTTATTAAATAGAAAAATACTGAGTTGAATAGATTGTACTTGCAGCAACACTGGAAATTCTGGATAGGCCACAAACAGGAGGCTACCCTAACATAAAATCCAATATAAATAACTAACCTCAGAAGAAAATTTTAAAACCTTCCATCAAGAGTCATAGCAAAAAAAAAAAAAAAAGTCACAGCAATCTTTACAAATGTTACAAAGCAAGAACATAAAATAATTTGTGCTTATCTAAAAATCATTCATTAACATCTATGCCTTCTTATGACTGCTTATGATTATAAGTTGTTAGTCCATGAACAAATTCTAGAAATTTTGGTGAGGTTTTATATGAAAGTAAAATACGAACTATGTGATCTCAAACCTACTTCTAACCCTAGGCTTCTAAGAGGCAAATTCATTTGCTACAACTCATTCAACTCAGGAGAATAAAATTAAGTTTATCAGTCTCAATTTATGAGAAAATGAGGGAACCATTTTAAAAGAAATTTTCTATCTGACACTGGGGAAAAGAAGGAATGATTTCATTATTCATAACTAATAATTTGAAAAATATTTGAAATACAACTTTGGACTACAATCTACACAAAAACAAAATTCTAAAATCCATTTTTAAAATTACAGCACCAGCTCTAACCTTGTAATTTTCTACCTTGCCTCTATCAGAAGCCGATACTCTGACTCAGAGAAGCCATGTTTTTTCCTCAACAGTCTCCACGCAGAAAATACTAAACCAATGTTGCTAACCAAATGACATATCACAGGAGTTGCAAAATGCAAAGCAAATCCTGCCATCACCTACAGCCATTGACTTCTGGGCCAGTATCCAAGCTATGAAGTTCAAGCCATGATTATTACATTACTATAAAAAGGGAAATTCCAAACCTAGAATACATATTGAATTCTGATATATTCACTGGTGCAGTCAAAAGAAGAAACTAGTTTTGTTCCACAAGTTGACAGCAGTGAGTCTTACCCTCCAATTTCGAATGCGTTTGAGCCTGTTGGGAGTTTTCTCCAGAATCTGTAGAAATTCATGTGTCAGTTCTACAAATAAAATAGAACATTCAAGAAAGACTCAGAGAGACAGAAGTAACGAAGCAAGAATAACCTCAACTAACTCACTATTTTCATCTGAATCAAGTCACTTTCAGCCAGATATGTGACAGATCAAGAGCAAGTGCTTTTCAAAGTCCCTTACTCTAAAACTTACCATCTAAAAGTTCCAAGGTCACAGTGGCGTCAACATACTCCCACCAGTGCTTCCCGTCAGTTGAGACTGGGATCTCCCAGTTGGACCACTTGCAAGCCAGATGAATGCAGACACAGGCCACCACAGGAGGTGTGTACTGCAGGCTAAATGTGGTCAAATGCAGGCTGACATCAGAGGGAAGGAAACAGAGAGTGTCATGAGCTCTCAATTCTCAACCCAAAGCTAAAACTCTCCATTATTAAAAAAAAAAAAAAAAAAGTTTAAAAAAACACAGGAGAGTGAGAAGGGCAAGAAATATCCAGTGCTCTGATACAGCACTCTATTTTCCTATTAACTCACCTGTTCAGGTAACAACATTTCTAAATTTCTTGACTGCACATCATTCAATCCACACACTGATCAGAGCCAAAAAAAAAAAAAAAAAAAAAAAAGCTAGGTATTCAAGTTTTTTAAAACATTGACTTCTGGACCACTATCCAAGCTCACAGTCAATGTTTATTACCTATCACCCTGAGACTAAGCTCAGATCTTAAGCAAAATTATAAGCTTTTTGGTGTGCACAATCCCTAAATCAAGTACTTAAGGAAATACTGTAGAAATTACCTTGTCTCTTACCAATCATATTTCTATTTAAAATGATGAACAATCTTTGTCTCAAGTATGAATATGCTTGATTGATGGTTTATTTCAAATATTTCTTGTAAGAGGTTATAAAAAGGAACTTCTTAGCCCTGACAGTTATTAGGGGTATCTTTGGTTTCCATGAACAAACAATATCAGGTATTAGAGTTGAGAGTAAGTTAGTCATTTGATAATACAAGTTATGTACTAATAATTTATTTTGTAAAAAAAGGAAAAAAGAAAAAGTATTGAAACTCTTTACACACCTACATGTCCATTTGTTTGGGAGTGGGGGAAGAAAAAGGAGTCTTAAAATATCATAATTATTGCAGAATCTTCCATATTAGGTTTTCGGTCACTATCAATGAGTGCTAAGTTTAACGTAACTTTCAGAACTGTGCTCTTGGACATTTTAAAGCAAAGTAACACATAACAGAATTGAGTAAGCTATCAAAGAATCAGTATTAAATACTTATATATCACCACAGCAAATTAAAAAGCACCATGGAAATTTAAACTACAACATGAAAACTGTGCATAAAAATCAACATTGACCAGAGAATTGTCTATAACACATTGTATCAAAGATCATTTCCATGCCTGGGGTCCTTGGGTTCTAGTTTACTAAGTGGTTGTATTTACCACTCAAAAGGTAACAATTCCAACCCAAGTAAAATTCTTTCCCAAAATTAGAAGGGAAAAATAATTAAAATATAAACCTGTTGGTTGCCATGAAGTAAGAAGTCTGTGCCAAATCCTTGCTTGCTAAAAAAAACAAAACAAAACAGTGGGGCAGGGGGAAGGGAAGGAAAAAAGTTGTTAGTGCCATTTATTCTCAACACATATTTAGTAACCATTTAATATTTGCAAGATACTACGAATAGAGTGGTAAATGAGGCAAACATGATCCCTGACCACCTAATGTTTATAGACAGATCAATGATTTTTAATTTTAATAATTATGCTGCTTCCAGACCTAGGGACTCGAGTGTTATTCTGCACATCAGGTATTTGAGATACTTGTAGCAAGTAATTTAGAGATTCTGATATAAGGATTCACTGAGAAACACTAAACTAGATGAACTAAGATGATCTGAAAGCCAAAATCAGAATCCAAAAGACCTTAATACATTTGGGAAAAGTGATTTTTGCTGATAAGAGAAGTTTTTAATGAAGTGATTTAATCCCCAAATCATCAAATAACATAAATTATTCAATATATTACAATGAAAAAGCCACATTCCTTTTTCCAAAAAAAAAAAAAAATGCTCTGGGTGACAAAGTAAAGTTTTATCTTCCCTAAAATGTCATCTTTTCAATGATAACAAATATCCATCTCCACCTCGGCCTCCCAGAGTGCTAGGATTAGAGGCATGAGCCACCACACCCGGCCATCATAAACATTCTAATACTTTCATAAAGAACTTGGGAAAACTGCAAATTTTCACATGAAACACACATTAGTAAAATGTAAAATAAGACCAATTATCAGTTTGGTCTACAAAACTATAAAAGGCACATAAATGCACAATGGAGTCCAGAGATTCTAAAAATTTTTTGCTGGGACAGGGTCTCACTATGTTGCCCAGGCTGTGTCTCAAACTCCTGGACTTAAGTGATCCTCCTGCCTTGGCCTTCTGGGTAGCCTTTAATCAACCCTAGAATTAAAATAAGATCACCTACTCCCCCAAGACAAACATCCTCAAGAGGTTAACTCTCACCATTTATTTTGATATAAACTAAGTAGGCCTTTCAATTTAACTTTTGGCCACAGCAGATGTGTTATGTATTTGTTCACAGAAAACCACAGCCTCTAAATGGTAAAACAATTTAAGACATCTCAAGTTGGGATTCCTTACCTCGAACAAGTTGAGTGCACTTTACTACATGTGTATGTGGGTGATCAATTGTTAGTTCAAAGCCTTAAAAGAAAAAAGCAACTGGTTATAAAGCTAGAGATACTCAAAAACATTTTATACTTATTTTATCTGAGTCATCACCAAAGGCCTCCCTCATTTCCCTCACCCAAAATTGCTGTTCAAAGGCTAAGAGTCACACAAAGAATGCAGTATACTCTTCTCTAAGATGTATTATCTTCAAAGTTGCTTACACTTTGAGCTAGAAGGTACTGCTAAGATCTCAAGAGCACTGAAGAACACAAAACACATTTTTAGGGACAACAGAATACAACATAAGGTTGGAAGAAGGAGTCGCTCAAGTGATGGCTACCTTTTAAAGCCTAAATTTTTTTTTTTTTTTTTTTTGAGACAGGGTCTTGCTCTCTTTCTGGGGGTAGAGTGCAATATCATCATCATAGCTCACTGCAACTTCAAACTCCTGGGCTCAAGGGATCCTCCTGCCTCAGCCTCCTGAGTAGCTGGGACTACAGGTGTGTGCCACCATGGCCAGCTAATTTTTCTATTTTTTGTAGAGACAGGATCTCGCTATGTTGTTTAGGCTGGTCTCAAACTCCTGGGCTCAAGTGATCCTCCCAACTCGGCCTCCCAAAGTGCTAGTGTTATAGGCATGAGCCACTGTGCCTGCCCTAAAGTTTAACCTTGAAAAAACATTTTAAAACCTATTCCTGTCTTACCTCAGTTTTGTTCCTTTTCATCATCTCAGTTACAGAAGACACTGATCATTTTATTTTACCTCAAATGGTCTTTACCAAAATTACTTAAGGAGGATCAGTGTGTCTATAAAAACTGTCTTTGAGTAAGTTGCCTTTTTTGAGTATATAACTAAAATTTTCCCCGATACAAGAAATTCTATTGATAAATTTACAAGGTGCGAATTATTCTGAAAGGATAACTGATATCTGTGAATTAGATCTTACTGGTTTCCACATTGAAGTATTAATAAAAATTTATTTCACCAGAAAAAATTCATTGTCCCCTAAAATATGATTACTTTGAAGATAATTTAAGAGTCAACTAGCAGAAATTAACTTCAGAGATAAACTTTCAATAACTCATCATGTGTACATACGTGCAAAAAAAATACAGCTATACTAATAACTTTCAAACACAACTCATGAAATCCTACCCTGCCTAGGAGAAAAAAATGGCAGTCCAAAAGAACAAGAAAAGAAATTCTTTATTTCCATATTTTCTAAGCTTTCAAAGACAGCCTATGTGTTGAAATTAAGAGTCAACTAGCAGAAATTAACTTCAGAGATAAACTTTCAATAACTCATCATGTGTACATACGCGCAAAAAAAATACAGCTATACTAATAACTTTCAAACACAACTCATGAAATCCTACCCTGCCTAGGAGAAAAAAATGGCAGTCCAAAAGAACAAGAAAAGAAATTCTTTATTTCCATATTTTCTAAGCTTTCAAAGACAGCCTATGTGTTGAAAATAATAGATAATAAAAGAACATCATCAGAGTTGCCCATGCAACCACTATAGTTTGAGTTCCTCCATTTCCACTTTGCTGTTCTAAATACCAGTTAACAATTTTAAAAACAAATGCTGTTAACTACAATGACAAATAAGCCATAACAATCCATGAAAGGAAAAAGGTTCTTTAGATTATTTACGAGGTTAAAAAGTGCCAAACCTTAAAAAGCAAATCATGAAACCTAAAATGAGGAAAAAAAAAAAAAAGACCACTAACTGCTGTTTCAAAGGTCAGCTGTACTACTTACATTCTCCCTATGGTATAGGCCAGGGTTAAACTCTGAGCTCTATAACCTCTATAAACCAGAAACAGATGGACGGACACTCTGCAAAAACATCCCAAGGGATTTTCTTCCTGTTTCGTATTTGGCAAATTTAAAATCAAATCATTATGTTAAATAACTTTTTTAGTGTTTTAAAGGAAAATAAACTTACCTAAGGTCTGCAAAATTATGCTTTCTAAAATCACCAGATCTTGAACTTGTTGCAGGTAAGCCTAAAAGTGAGAAGACAAAAATTATTCTCTACAAAGATACAATGTGTAAAGTGTAAATAATTCTAACAACCCCTCCTAGAGAAACTAAAACAATAAACGGCAGGGGTGAAATTAGGAGATAGACTAGGAATTAAAATACAATCCTGATCCCTCATCCCCATTCAGCACAGATTTTCCTAAAAAAAAAAGTAAACTAGCACACTGAGAGATAACTTTATTCATATATGGCTACGGAAATAGCACCAGAGATCTGGTTCATTTTCAGATTGATTAATATTTTAGGTTTTAAAGCTCATGTGATTTAGATATAAGACAATTTAAAATACATCTTTTTTTCAACACCACCAAAATACATTTGCAGAACCTTCCTACAGTACTGTAGACATTTAACGGCTATCAAACATTTGACTCCTGTTAAACCTTCCCCTTTGGGACAATGCTAGATTTCTAAAAATTAACAGAAAAGTTCAAAAGAAAATGTAATAAACAAGAAAATTCTCTCAGATTTGTAACAACCAAAACTATAACACTAGCCACATGTGGTTACTAAGCACTTGAAATGTAGCTAACCTAAACTGAAATGTGCTATAACTGTAAAATATACACTGGATTTTGAAGACAGTTAAAAAATAAAGAATGTAAAATACCTCATCAATAACTTAGTAACATTGATTACATGCTAAAATGACAATAATTTAGATTTACTGCATTAAGTAAAATGCATTATTAAAATTAATCTTTTTTAAAAATTAACTTTCCACTTAACTTTATGATTTGAATAAGTTGATAAGGATTTAAAACTATGCTAGCTCTCCTTTCCACACAGTGGAGAAAATATCTGCCCCACTAACCACCTCAAAACAACAGCAGACTTTGGGAGAAGTTATGTAAATATGTATTAGAGAAGGAAAAAAAGTGGGGATTATTTTGTTTTTGTTCTATTTTGTTAACTCAATTCTATAATCACATTTACTAGTCTCAAACCTAAATAAAGTCCAGACCAATCACTCTTTTCGACAAGAGCTACTGGTGTGGCTCAAAGAGAAAAATGAACGAAGTCAAGACATGGCTACATATAACATAATTAGAAGGACTATTATTAAAAACAAAAACAATCTCCCTGGCAAACAAAACCTTTCTCTATTATGATCAGAAGAAAACACACAATTCCATTTATCTATTTGATAAAGGATAACCCAGACATCCATTGTCAGAAACTTAAATGATCTAGTAACAAAAATCCATTAATTTTTCTCTAATTACTTACAAAAATCAGAATTTTCAACTCATCACTCCTCAATCACTGACTTCTACAACCAGAAGAGAGTTTCCTTTCTTTAAGAAAGTCAAGAAAGAATAGAAGGAAACAAAAAGCTATGTGTATACGCATAGGATAAAGGTCTGGAAAAATATCTATCAAACTATAATCAGCAGTATTCTAGGAAAAAGGGAGATGAACTTTGACTTTAAATGTTTCTTAAGTTTTTGAATTCTTTTATAATAAGCATATATTATTTTTATAATTTCTTTAAAAGTTAAAAAAAAAACTAGTGATAGGACTCACTTTCTTAAGGATCCATAACAAAAATGTATCTATGAGAATATTCTTCATAACATCTATAGTGGCAAAAAGATGGAAATTATCTATACTTCTTAATGGAGAATGGTTAAAAAAAAATAGAGAGAGAGAGAGATATATAGACACATACACAAGCATATGATGAAATACTATCTAGACTTTTTTTAAAGTAGAAAATTAATAAAATGAGAAAATATTTGAGATATAGTAAGTGGAAAAAAAAAACCCAGATACAAAATACATGCACACATAGCTATTTATAGAAAAGAAGCCAGAAATACCAGTGGTTCACTTATATATCTGTGCTTCGGTTGTCTAAAATATATCTAGGTGATGCATTTTCTTCTTTGTTTTTCTGCATTTTCAAATTTACTACAATGAATACAATTAACTTTTGCCATAAAATTTATGTGATTTTTTTTTTGTTGTTAAGGAAAAAATAAACACTAAAAGGTGCCTTTAACAGCCCCCATTCAAACTTCAGTAAATCAAAGTTACAATATTAAGTTATAATATATACAAAGAAAAACAGATGTATAGTTAATCTCCTACCTCACTCCTAGTATCAAGAAGTGACTCCTGTGGATGGAGACAAGTATGTGCTACCTTGATGACATGTTCCAATTTTTTTGGCTGCTCTTCTACTTTCGCTGCTAGAAACAAGGCTGCTGGAGCCACAGACTGGATGGAGAGAAAACAGATCATATTTATTATTTATTTATTTCTAGACCAAGGTGGATCTAAAGAGGAGCTAAGTCTCAAACAAATCCAGTGCTTATCTCAACTTCACCAACTCTTATTTACGCTTTTCTCTCTACTTATAATATCTTCCCCTCTCCTATCCATTGATCCATGTCCACTTCCAAACATCAATCCTTCAACAACCTCTCATTAAAAGCTATCTATGGGAGAAGGTACTAGATATAGACGGTTTTCTATTTAAAATGAGATTCTTGGTTCATGCCTGCAATCCCAGTGCTTTGGGAGGCCAGGGTGGTAGGATTGCTTGAGGCAAGGAGTTCGAGACCAACCTAAGCAATATAGCAAGACCCTGTCTCTAAAATAAATAAATAATTAGCTGGGCATGGTGGTGCACACCTGTAATCCTAGCTACTCGGGAGGCTGAAGTGGGAAGATCACTTGAACACGGCAGTTCACAGCTGCAGTGAACTATGATTGTGCCACTGCACTCTAGCCTAGGCAACAGAGAAAGACCGCATCTCTAAAAAAACTAAAAATGAAATAAAATGAAATTCTTTATTAAAGAATTTGTTTATATCAAATCACTCTATACATTTTTCTAAGGAGTAAATTGAAATGTCCAGAACAGGCAAATCTATAGAGATAGAAAGTAGATTAGTGGTTGCTACAGACTGGGGGAAGTGGGAAATGGGAGTGACTGTAAATGCGTGAGGAGCTTCTGGGGTGATGTAAATGTTCTGGAATTGGACAGTGGTGATGGTTCCACAATACTGTGAATATACTAAAAACCAGTGAATTGTACAATTTAAAACAGTGAATTTCATTGTATATAAATTGTATCTCAATTATTTATATATTAAATTTTTTTTAAAAGAATACGAAGCATAGCCTTATATATAAGAAATCATACATAGCAGGCATTTGGGGGGGAAGTTCAAGCCAATACAGGCAAACAACAAACTGAGACAACAAACTCAGACACTAAACAATATAAAAGATTAGAGCAATATGACATTAATGTAGCCTAGCAATCTGGGAAACTTCAGAAGTAGACTTTTCTTGAATCTTAGGAATATTTCAATGAATTAAAGATGGCAATGGCAAGAGCTATAATTCACAAGTCAAAGAAATGCAATAAATAATTTCACAGAATTTAAATATCTATTTCACTTTACTGACTAGAACAGATATTCTAATACTTATTTGTATCCCTGCAGTTACCTACATAATACTTTTCTAGAGTAAGTTCCTCCACAAATTCAATTCATAGTAATTCTTTTCCTTCTCATTTGTTTCAGTTGTATATGGAGCTTGCTATATATACATTTCTCAGTCTTTAGGATAAACAAAGCAGGATCCAAGAAAATGGGCATGAACAAAGATATGGGATCTGGGCATGAAGCACATTTTGAACATTAAACTGAGTCGTTAAATGAAATACATAATGGGATGTGAGACATTAAAGATTTTAGAAAAATGTAGAGTTTAAGAAATATTAAGAGTAATCTGGTGGCAGGTAGGATTAAAAGGAGGAAAGGAGGGGATACATTAAAAGTTAATTTTAAAAAAAGAAAAATTTTAATAATAATTCAGGCATTAGGAAATAAAATTTAGAGTAGGCACTAACATTAGAAATAATGGAAAAAAGAAACAGGTATCATTTTGGATAACTATTAGGGTTGCAATAAATATACATGCATGTATTTGCATACAGACAAAAAATTCTAATGGAATATACTCAAAACATTAACAGGATTATCTCGAAAAAGTGAGTTATCGTGAAATCTTCATTTTCTCCTTCAATCCTTTCTTACAACTTTTTCTTTTTTTTTTTTTTAAGAGACAGGGTTTCACTTTGTCACCCAGGCTGGACTGTACTGGACTGTCACCCAGGCTCACTTTGTCACCTCAGCCTCCCAAGTAGCTAAGACTACATACAGGCAGTGCCACCACGCTCAGCGTCAATTTTATGATAATGAAAAAATATATGTATAGGGAGAGAAAAAATGGAACACTATAAAAATTAACAAGATTTTATAACTGGGCCAGGTGCAGTGGCTCAGGCTTGTAATCCTAGCACTCTGGGAGGATGAGGCGGAAGGATCGCTTGAGCTCGTAAGTTTGAGACCAGCCTGAACAAGAGCGAGACCCCCGTCTCTATTAAAAACAGAAAAAATTAGCCGGTGAACTAAAAATAGAAACAAAAAATTAGCCAGGCATGGTGGCTCTTGCCTGTAGTCCCAGCTACTTGAGAGGCTGAGGCAGGAAGATCGCTTGAGCCCAGGAGTTTGAGGTTGCTGTGAGTTAGGCTGACGCCAAGGCACTCACTGCAGCCTGGGCAACAAAGTGAGAATCTGTCTCAGAAAAAAAAAAAAAAGATTTAAACCTATACAACTCTGCTTTCTAGGAACTAAGAATATATTTGAAAGGAGCTAACTATAATATAGTATACAAACAATAGATAACAATGCAAGCTAATATTTCATTAAGCAAAAGACTGCAAGAGATAATTTTCAATTTAATTTTTATGCAATCAACCATAAAAATATTCAATATTCCTTATGGAATCATTTGTCAAGTTCACATACCAAAGCGTCTCCCCATAAAAGGCCAAGTTTCTCTAGGAGGAATTCTTGTACCAGTTAAGCGTATAACATTTTCTCCATTTTCAAAAAACAATAATGCTAGCTAATGTTTATTGTTTGCTATGTGCTATTAAAGCCTATCCACTACTCATTTGCCCAAAGCTACACAGCTAGGAAGCACTATAGCATGGTTCTAAATCTAGACAGGACTCCAGAGACCATGCTTCTAACTACTGAGCTTGACCTCTTAAGAGTCAACTAATTAGAGTAAAATACACCCAACAAATTTGTTAGGCACTAAATACAGAATCTGTATTTTGAAATATATAAACACACGCACCCCACCCAAGTAGTTCACCATTTTTATTTTCCCCCACTTGAAAACATTTAAGATAGTACATGTAGAAATTCAATTAATGAGATTGAATTTCTTCTCAAAAAGAAAGTAAATGCAATTCCAGAACTTGAGTGTAAAGAAATAAAGCAGTTATTTAACCATGTCCACTAAAGAAATAAAATTTATTTTAATTAAAAGACAAGTACTCTACCTACCAGGGTGTTGGAAAAATACTATCTTGATCTGAGATATGGTCACACATAAAAAATAATAATGCAAAAATTAATCAATTTGCATAATTTAGATTTTTATGCTTTACTGTATACCTCAATAAAAAAACACAAAATGAGAAAAATATTCACAACACCTGAAAACAGCTATAATATATAAAGAACTCATAAAAATAAGATAATCAGAATAACAAAAAGGGGGCAAAGAGAACCAGCAATCAGTCAATTTTTCACTCAATTCTTCAATTTCATGAGAAGAACCATGACCAAAAGGCAAGAAAACCTAACTTCACTAACTGAAGCAATGTAAATTAAGAAGATAATTTAGGACCCCATCAATCTGGCTCACCAACATATCCCTAGCACTTAACAAATACTTAATATTTCTTGAAGAACTAAAATATTTCTTGAAGTAATGAATATTTTTTGTCAGGGTGTAAAGAAAAGGACACTCTTCTATAGTGCTGGAAACAAAGCATACTGATAATCTTTCAATAGGGCAAATCAACACAACAAAAATTTTTACATATGCATACCCCTGAGCGCAGCAATTCCACCTATAGGAATTTATATTAAAATGCTCACACAAGTGTACTATATATGTACAAGACTATCCTATGTAACTTTATTTATAATATAATAAACTAAAAACAACCCAAATAGCCACCAATAGGGAGCTAGTTAAATAAATTATGGTAATTAAACAAATACTACGTAGCTATTTAAAATAATGAGAAGCCAATATGAAAAGATGTCCAATACATACTGTTAAGTGATAAAGGCAAGTTGCACAACAGTAGTATAGTAAGACATGATTTTTTTAATAGAAATAAATGCTAGTGTATATATGGAAAAATGTCCAGGACACTACATACCAAAGAGTTGTCAGTGGTTATCTCTGGGTGAGTTTACAGAGGAGCTTTTAATTTCCACATTATACATTTCTGTACTGTTTTAATTTTTACCATGGGAATTTATTGCCTTTTTTTTTTTTTTTTTTGGAGACAGAGTCTCACTCTGTTGCCCTGGGTAGAGTGCAGTGATGTCATTGTAGCTCATTGCAACCTCCAGCTCCTGGGCTCCAGTGATCCTCCTGCCTCAGCCTCCGAAGTAGCTGGGACTACAGGCATGCGCCACTACACCTGGCTAATTTTTTCTATTTTTTAGTAGAGACAGGGTCTCACTCTTGCTCATGCTGGTCTTGAACTTCTGAGTTCAAGCAATCCTCTTGCCTCGGCCTCCCAAAGTGCTAGGACCGCAGGCGTGAGCCACCATGCCTGGCCCTATTGCCTTTGTAATAAGAAAAAAATAACATGAAAAATGCATGAGGGATTAAATATATGTAACACCAATGCCACAGCAATGTGTTAAAGCCTCTCAGATTTGAATTTAGATTCATCTCATCTAAACTCTTAGAATATATTAACAGGATGTTATTTTTGACCTGTTAATTCTAGAATGTGTCTAAAATCAATCCTCTAAAGAGGATCAACGACTCCCAATTAATCACTAGAATTTAGAAAAGGCCATGACATCCAAAAGAATATCTTCATATTGGATAATTACCAGATCATTCATTCATTCAATAAGTTTACTGAAGGTGCTTTGGAAAATATACAGAAAAGTGAGTCTCTGTCCTTGCCAAGCTTAATATGTAGGAAATAAGATGTAATTTGACAGATGAAAGTAGGGGGAAATATGTATTAACCTATATATGCACAAAATGGAAAAGTTGATTTGAGATTTATTTCACCCCAGATTTTAAATCTTTATTGTAATAAAAGGGAAGAATTATAGAAAATGTTCTTCTGTAATATTTTAAGAAAAAAAAGAATTATAGAAAATCTACAGAATTGGCACAATAGCGATGAACTTCTTCAAATTTCACTCTTTATCCACTACCTTCTACTCTGGTGTCATTAGATAGCCCCATTAAATGCTAACATACTTATCTTTCCCTTAATAAGGGTGTACTCCTTCCAGTCAGAAGTAGGGCATGGCTGGAGGTATGGGGGGTAAGGGAAGAAGAAAGCCAAGCTAACTGGACAATCATGAAAAATTAGGAATACTTAATTCACAAGTCCAAAAAGCTTATTATGTAGTTATTCCCAATACTGATTCTGCCAATTTCTTACATTACAAGAGCTATGTATACCTTCACAGATACTTTCCCTACAAGGATAAAAAATAAACAAATAAAAAAGAGCTTAAAACCCATCACCCTAAAGGGTATGTCTTAAACAAGTTTCCTCAGTAGTATAACCCTTTTTAGGAAAAAAACCATAATGAGCTCTTTTTCCTGGCACATCGGAGGCAATCAGCTGCTTTAAGATGAAGCTAAATATCTCCTTCTCAGCCACTGACAGCCAGAAACTCATTAAGTGGACGATGAATGCAAACTTCGTACTTTTTATGAGAAGAGTATGGCCACGGAAGTTGCTGCTGACGCTCTGGGTGAAGAATGGAAGGGTTATGGGGTCCGAATCAGTGGTGAGAATGATAAGCAGGATTTCCTCATGAAGCAGGTGGCTTGACCCATGGCTGTATTCACCTGCTACTGAGTAAAGGGCATTCCTGTTACAGACCAAGAACTGGAGAAAGAAGGCGCAAATCTGTTCGGGGTTGTATTGTGGATGCCAACCTGAGCGTTCTCAACTTCGTTATTGTAAAAAAAAAAACGAGAGAAGGGTATCCCTGGACTGACTGATACTACAGTACCTCATGGTCTGGGGCCCAAAAGAGCTAGCAGAATCTGCAAACTTTTCAATTTGTCTAAAGAAGATGATGTTCGCCAATATGTTATAAGGAAGCCCTTAAACAAAGAAGGTAAGAAAGAAACCTAGGACCAAAGCACCCAAGATTCGGCGACTTGTAACTCCACGTGTTCCGCAACATAAATGCCGGCGTATTGCTCTGAAGAAACAGCATACTATGAAAAATAAGGAAGAGGCTGCAGAATATGCTAAACTTTTGGCCAAGAGAATGAAGGAGGCCAAAGAAAAGCGCCAGGAACAGATTGCCAAGACACGTAGGATGTCCTCTCTGAGAGCATCTACTTCTGAGTCCAGCCAAAAAGAAGATTTTTTGAGTTAATAAATAAGACCATATCACCCCCCTCAAAAATCCCATAATGAAATATCTTACTCATAAATCCATATGAAGCATTCTCCAAGTTTATCCCTATTATCTCGGGATTTTACTAAACAAATATAGTCTTTCCTAGAACTGGGATATCACTATACATTTACAATCATGTGAAATAAGGCCATTTGAGGTAGCAAAACTGAAACTATCACTATTTATAATTTTGTCCACAAAAAAAATCCCTTTATTACTATTTTTTTTTTTCTATTCTTAAAAGTCACTTACCCAGTCATTATTATATAATGTACCTTCTCCTCCAACCGTTGATTGGAATTTTATCAAAGGCTTTTGGAAAATCTAAATAACTTACATTCCTTTCCTGTGACCATATTATTATTTACCACTTTGAAAGTTATACTTAAATTAAGCATGATTTCCCCTTTAATGCTACTCTACCAACCCAAAAATGTTAACTTTAAGTGTTCAATAATCTATTTCTTTATTAGAGAATCCAATCCACCTACTCTAAGGATGTCTAAATCTACCAGACAATTAGACACTTCACAGGAAAACTGGAAGACTGGATTCAGAACAGCAGCATGACACATAAGCAAAGTGATCAACCCTAAATTCTAAGTTCAAATCCCAGTGCAGTAGCAAAGACCAGGAATCTATCACAAAAGGATTACACCATATAAAAAAATTAAACTTGGCCAGGCGCAGTGGCTCACGCCTGTAGTCCCAGCTACTTGGAAGGCTGAGGTAAGAGGATCTCTTGAGCTCAGGAGCTCAAGGTTGAAGTGAGCTGTGATCGCACCACTGCACTACAACCTGGGAGACAGAGAAAGACCCTGTCTCTAAAAAATAATAAATAATAATAATACTTACATTTCGATGGAATTGTGTGAAGGACTGAATCATGTAGAATCGATGCATGTACACTATAGCAGTGTTGATAGTCAATTGTGAGCTGAAGTGTTCAAGTTAAGGTCCAAAAACAAGCAGGCAGGCAGTATAATTTCCAAAAATGTAACCTCTAACTCCTCCCCAAAAGACCACCAAATGATCAAGCACAGTAGATGCTACTAAATGAAATCATACTTACCTCTGCCTCTCCAAAGAGTTCTGTTTTCTTTCACCAAATTATTAATCGCCAATTGACATTTAGCACAATGCCTTACACGTAACAAGTATTTAATATAAATTTACTGAATGAATAAACAAACTCTCAGGATATGTGGATCAAGTATAAAAAAAAAAGTAACATCTTAAACATTTCTGTCACTTGCCTTCTGAAAATGCTGCAATGGTGATCTGTTAGCTCAGGATATCTCTTAAACATGATTTACCAGGCCCTTCTTCACCTGGCCTCTAGGTATGTCTGCACTAGCTCCCTCCCCTTCTGAACTCCAGCAATTAACTTTTCAGTTCTACTTCTCTCTGGCAACCAAGACTTTTCATATGGTGATCCCTGGGACCACAAATACTTTCAAATGACCTGATATTTATTAAATGAAATAAAAACGTTTAAATATCTTAATTCTAAAGACCTCAGCTGACAATATGGGGTCTAGAAATGATGCAGTCCCATGATGGCAACAACCTTAATGACAACACACATACAAAAAGGGAAAGCGTTTTAAGGATACACTGAAATAGAATTTCAAACAAAAAAGTTTAACTCCGTACTGACTGGATGCTTAGGAAACAAACTGGATATCAACAGGAAGCAAAATGACAATAAAAAGGATACTTACTTTGAGATGAACACAATCTTAAGATACAAACAGCAACACATTTAAATGGAAGCTGCACCCAAGAAAAAGTTTTCATGCACAGAGTGAAAAAACTTTAAAACCATATTAGTTTTCTCCACCACAAAATGAGTGTATTTTATGACAAACAAAAATATTTGGGGGGGGGGACATCACTAACTTAGCACATCTTTGAAATATGAAGAAAACGAATATACACCAGCGCTCTAAGTAACGTAAGAACCCAATATTTTGTAAAAGATTTAAAACATTCGATTCCGTGAGTCTACATCCCTAAAAACATAAACCGACATCTTTCCTTCCTCTGAAATTCTATAAAACTCTAACAGCAGATACTACTATTCGAACGTTTGAATGCCAAGCATTGTGGTGGGGACAGAATCAAATGCAAGAGGTATCATCCCATTTTTACAGATGAGAAGACCAAGAATTTGACAGCTAGCAAGTGGGAGGAACGGATTTTGAACCAAACCTGGGGCATTAATTCTAGGCCTTCAGGTATTGAATTTCTCGAAACTCTTTACACACTAAGTTTGAGAGAGAGCCGTCAACAGTGAAACCTCTACTAGACCCCTAAAGCACAGCGGAAAAGGAGAATCTTAAAGTCACCAAAACAGGTCAGAACACACTGAAGAGGACTAGTAAGAGCTAGTTAAAACACAAAGCTGGGAAGGATACGAATTCCCAGCAAGGTTGGTGGCACGGGTTAGCGAGCGGGAAATTAACTCCGCCTCGCTGCCATCGCGCGAACAGAGTTTCAGCCCGCCCCACCGTGGGCTCTCCCACCTAGACATCCAGCTCCTCCTGCCCACCTTCTTCCCCGCTTCGGTCCCCACCAGAGCTGAAGCCCTGGACGCGGAGCATGGCGGGACCGACTCGAAGGCCAAAAGCCTAGGCCGCAAGGATACACGTTAAGACGTTGCCCCATGTCCTGGAGTAGATTGGCCGCCTGCTGGCGATAAGAAAGTTCTTTATCTGGGTCCAGGCCAAAACGACGGGATGGGCTATTTTCCAGCTGTTCACGAGTAAAATACCACCGTTTGTTGTTGTTCTTCCTCTCTCCCTCCATAGTGCTTCAACCAGAAGGCAGCGACGGAGGCTGCAAGCACTTCCCAGCGTCACCTAAGCGGCGACACATCCGCTGTGCGGAGGCAACTGCGACGTGACGAACTTCCGCTAAGAGTCGATATCCAGATTGTGACGCTTCCGTCGAGGAAGCGAAAGTCAATGGGCCAACTTCCGTAATGGACCTAGCAACAGCCTGTAACAGCTAGTATACGACCAGGAAGGACCTTGAGGCGAGGACGCAGGCGCGTCACGTGACACCTTGGGAGGTAGGGGGTGGGAGTAGAAGTTTGCGTTTAAAAACCACGTCTTTTCCCGCGAGAACTGAGCTGAGCGCGCCCTCAGCTAGGCAATGAGTCCTCAGTTGTGGCCGGTTGAAGCGTGCTTCCTGCCCACGCGCCACTCGGGTGCGTCTCGGAGAATGTCGTTTGTGGCGGAGTCGGCGATGGAAAATGGGGCAGGTGAAGACCTTGAAAGAGAAAACAGGTGGGACTATCAGAAACTGAAAAAAAAAATTAAAGAAAGTGGCCCTATTGTATATCGAAACTTAAAGCAACTAGGAGCCTCTGACGTTGTTGATAGCAGTGTGAAGTACTACAACCCATTTGAAGAGCCACTTCATAGTATGTAGCCAAAGCCATGGAAACATTCCTACGATTCGCCACGGTGATGCAACTTAAAGGAATAAAATGAAATTAACAGCATTAATTTAGAGCTTACATGTCACAGGGGCAATACCGACTCTTAAATATATTAATACTATTTCATTGAATCGGCACAACTCCAAGAGATAATATTTTAATCCCTGTTTGCGAATGGGTGAACTAAAACTGTCCCTTCAGTGTAAAAAGCTACCACTACCCGCCACATGCACAAATTTATAAATTCCTGCCCCAAAGTCTGATAGCTGTTTGGTCCTGGACAAGATATTTAACTTCTCTGTGCCTCTTCTGTAAAATGTAGATGATAACGCTTACGTTTTAGTTTGTGAAAGGGAGTGAATATTTAATGAGTTACAAGCATTTATAATAGTAACTGGTACTTAGAAAATATCCAGTAGATCTTGTTGTTATCATAGTGTTTGTTACATTGTATTGAAATTGCAGGCAAGAACAAGGCCTTCATTTTTGTATCCCCAGCACCTACCTAGTACAGCCCTGGCCCTAGTAAATAGTCAATAAATCTTTGTAAAATGCTTGAAACACCCTACAATACAGAAATTGGGGCTCAGAAAAATCAGGTAGTTTGCCCTACCCTACATTGCTAACAATGCTAATAGTGCAGGTTTTTTTTGGTTTGTTTGTTTTTGTTTTTGAGACATGGTCTTGCTCTGTTGACCAGGCTGGAGTGCAGTGGCATCATTGTAGCTCACTGCAACCTCAAACTCCTGGGCTCAAGTCATCCTCCTATCTCAGCTAATTTTTTTATTTTTTGTAGAGACATCTGGTCTCAAACTCCTGGACTCAAGCAATCCTACCCTCTTGGCCTCCCAAAGTGCAAGGATAGGCCCCAGCCCTAAGTGTAGATTTAAAAATCAAGTCTAATTCCATTGTTCTTTCCATTCTAGCAAACTGTATGCCTGCTTTTCTGGAGCCATACTCAATTTACCTTGATTAAATTTGGATAATTTTAGATAAATTTGAATAATATTAGAATCCTTTGTCTTTTATAATATTTTGGGTTTTGTCATTTCCAGATCTGGCTGCTTTTACTCAGGATGTTTGATCCTAATTCATTCTCAGAAGTATTTCCTGTCTATTAATATTTCAGGCCCTCCTCTGCCATGTACAGCCTACAGAGAGTATTAGCTCCATTATATCCTGGAGAAATGAGGTTCAGGAAGATTTAAATGACTTACTTCTGTTTGTAAGGTAAAAGAGCTTATGATTTCAGACTACTTTCATCACGGACTTTTTTTCTTTCAATAGAATATGTACTTTAATAGATTCTTTTTTTAGTGGAATAAGCACTTTTTCAGTTATGTAGTCATGTATGTTGTCTTCTAAATAGTCAAAATTATTTCTTCCAAATCCCTTTTGCCTAATGCTCTGACCTGTGTTTGTTTCTCCACTTAATCTGTTGGATTGATGACTCCATACCTATTGAATTTTCTGTCTTGGCTTAGTATGCCACTCTTCCAGGAAAAAGTTCTCATCTCTGTCAGGCTTCAGGCAATGCAGCTACTAATCATGGTTTGCTACCCTGCCGTACAGAAGAGGGGAGTCCTGTGTAAATCAGAGAAAGAAAATATTTTTTGTTTGAAGATGTAATTATTTGACAGTAGGAAACAGTGGGAACATATTAATAATTGCTAAATATATGAGTTTTTGAGTCAGGCCTAGATTCAAAGCCCAGCTATTCCTTTTTTTTCCAGCCATTTTAACAATTTGTAAGTGTACAATTCAGTAGTGTCAACTATATTCTCATCATTGTGCGACAGAGCTTTAGAATTTTTTCATCTTGCAATACTGAAACTTTATGCCCATTGAAAAACTCTCCATTTGCCCCTCTTTCCAGCTCCTGACAACCATCATTCTACCTTCTGTTTCTTTGACTTTGACTACCTTAGATACCTCTTATAAGTGGAATCATTCAGTATTTGTCTTTTTGTGACTGGCTTATTTCACTTAGTATAATGTCCTCAAAAATCCCAGCTACTCTTTTAACTAGCTGTGTGATCTTGAATGTCATCTCTGCGTCCATTTAATAGAACACCGCCTACACTATGTAGTAGCTGTTCAATACACATTTATTGTTGAAATAACTTAGCCTTCAGATATATTGCCCTTAAAGAAAAATTGACAAAATCTTAAGCCAAAGGAATTTTCCTTTTTTTTTTTTTAAAAGACAGGGTCTCTCTCTGTCACCCAGGCTGGAGTGCAGTGGCCCAATTGTAGCTCACTATAACCTCAAAATCCTGGGCTCAAGCAATCCTCCCACCTCAGCTGGGGCTACGGGTGCGTGCCACTACACCCGCCTAATTTTTTTACTTTTTGTAGAGACAGGGTCACACTATGTTGCCCAGGCAGGTCTCAAACTCCTGGCCTCAAACTATTCTCACACCTCAGCCTATCAAAGTGCTGGGATTACAGATGTGAACCACCACACCCAATACTTTTTTCTTTTTTAAAAAATATAAATGGGACTTCGTTTCCTATAAATCACACCTATGGGTCTACACTTCCTTTATAGCAGTACACCATATTTCATGGTTTTATCTTATTTTACACTGTGCTTATAAACGTCATGTTGTAGTCATGCCAAACATTACCATTTCTACAGTTAAAACAATTTTTCCCCAACATTCATATAATCTTCAGATTAAAATATGAAAAGATGGTGTGCTCTTTGCAACACTCCCCAACTCCATGTTCAGTGATGTCACTTTGATAGCTTGAAATCAGCCATGGTGTGTGTGGGTGCTGGTAACTATCAAATAAAAATATTGTATGTGTATACATGTGTACAAAAGTTCATTGTAAAATTTATTGATATAAAGGATGTATAGCACACAATTTATAAAAAATAAAATATACAGTCTTCTTCATTGTAAATTTCCTATAGCAAACTGATTCTCACAGACTGTTTTCTTTGATTTTGCCAAATTCTTGAATCAGGACCCGATCTATGGCTGCAATTGACAAACAAATATAGATGATCCTTGACTCATGATGAGGTTACGTCCCAAAAAACCCATCATAAGTTGAAAATACCGTAAGTCGAAAATGCATTTAATAAACCCAACATACCAAACATCATAGCTTAGCCTAGCCTATCTTAAACATGCTCAGAACACTTACATTAGCCTACAGTTGGGCAAAATTAACTAATAAAAAGCCTATTTTATAATAAAGTATTGAATATCTCATGTAATTTATTGAATACTGTATTGAAAGTGAAAAACAATAGTTGTATGAGCACTCAAAGTACAATTTCTACTGAATGCATATTGCTTTTACATCATCATAAAGTTGAAAAATCAACAAGTGAACCATCATAAATTGGAGACCATCTGCATAGTTTTGAATGTTGATTGATATTTTCATTTGCATTAATAAGATGAAAGTTCCAACTTATGTTGGAACTTCACTTATTTGTCAATGACTTGAGAAACATCTTTACTGCATTAGATAATAGTTTTTGAATAATGGAAGAATGTTCCAGTTTTTTGTGGTTTTTTTTTTTTTGAGACAGAATCTCACTCTGTTGCCTGGGCTAGAGTGCCAGGCGTCAGCCTAGCTCACAGCAACCTCAAACTCCTGGGCTTAAGTGATCCTTCTGCCTCAGCCTCCCGAGTAGCTGGGACTACAGGCATGCGCCACCATGCCTGGCTAATTTTTTCTACATTTTTAGTTGTCCAGCTAATTTCTTTCTATTTTTAGTAGAGACCGGGGTCTCGCTCTTGCTCAGGCTGGTCTCGAACTCCTGAGCTCAAACGATCCGCCTGCCTCGGCCTCCCAGAGTGCTAGGATTACAGGCGTGAGCCACGGCACCTGGCCAGTTATTGATAATGTAATGGCTGTAGATATGGTATACTTTTCAACTTTATCTGAATTATTAACATTTTTCTCTATCATTTTCTTACGTCAAGACAATCAACAAAATGAATAAATCAAGCGTTGTAATATTTGCCAATTTCTGTGTTGTAAATTCTCCCATCATGGCTGATTTAAACATACCAATATGATATCACTGATTATCAAATTGGGAAGAGATGCACACACCATCATATAGTATTTTCTCCAGACAGATAGAATAGATGGGGACATCAGTTTCTAGTCTGACAGATAGAGAACTTGGAAGTCATCACTCCCTTCCTTACAACAAGAAAAAAACTAAACAAATTGAAACTGAACAACCCTTCTTAGACCCATCAGAGAATTGAGATCACGGAGCAAACCTCTGCCCCCAAAACTAGAGAAACAGATGGACTTAGAACAGGTGGGATAGAAACTTACTGGGAGTAAAAACTGCTATTGGAACCAACAGCTGACAGGAATACTCATAGGGCAATTGACTAGTTGCTGGAGACTGAACATAGACTAGCTTGAGAGATTTAAAAAACTCCTGGGGGCCTAGCGTTAAGGGGACCCCAACATTTTTGTGAGTTTTACGTCCAGGAGCCCCAGTGAATTCTTACTGTGAAAACTGGAAAAAAAAAATCCCCTCGTGCTTCCAGCAGGAAGAGAGAAAAAGTAGTCATTTTGAAAGACACCCAGGCCTAACAAAGGCCTACTCTTAAGCAAAACTATTTAACAGAGTCTAGCCCATCTGGGAGAAGGGAAGTCCCCCACTGCAGCCTCCATTAGTCCTCCTGTTTTACATAAGGGGAAAAAGGACGAGACCCTTATGCAGGTCACAGCCCAGGGACATAAGCTCAATAAAATGTAGAGACCTAATAACAGAATTATAGAATGCCCCCCCTGCCCAATCTCACCACTACATTAGTGGAGTTCCTATATAATAACAGGATTACAAATGAAAAAACTGCAAGGCTCAGACCCTGTTTAAGAAAGTCTTGCAGCCGGTGCGGTGGCTCACACCTGTAATCCTAGCACTGAGAGGCTGAGGTGGGAGGATTGCTTCAGCTCAGGAGTTTCAGACCATCCTGAGCAAGAGCAAAATCCCATCTCTACTAAAAATAGAAAAATAAACTAGGTGTTGTGGCTCACACCTGTAGTCCCAGATATTCGGGAAGCTGAGGCAGGAGGATCGCTTGAGGCTGGGAGTTTTGAGGTTGCCGTGAGCTATGATGACGCCACCACCGCACTCTACCTGAGGTGACAGAGACTCTGTCTCAAAAAAAGTCTTGGCTGCAGTTAGCTATGTTAGCGCCACTGCACTCCAGCCTAGGTGGCAGAACAAGACTCTTGTCTTATTAACTAAATAAATAGATAGGTAGATGGAAAGATACACACATACATAAAAGAAAGACTAAGGAAACTCAAAGATAGCAAGAATGACAAAAACAAGGACAACTGGAGGAAATTTTAGCCTCCGATACTTACAGCTATAAAAAAAGTAAACACAGCCTAACTCCTAGCCATATAAACACAAAACCTGGCTTTTACCCAATACATCATGTCTAACTTTTGACAGAAAAGTTACAAGGCATGCTACAAGGTGAAAAATACAATCTAAAGAGACAAAGCAAGCATCAGAACCAGACTCACATATGGCAGAAATTGTGGAATTATCGTATTTATCGTAATTAAAGTAATTATGATTAATATATTAAGGACCCTTAATGGAAAAAATGGACAACATTCAAAGACAAAGGGTAATGCAAGCAGAGAGACAAAAACTCTAAGAAAGAATCAAAAAGAGATGCCAGAAATCAAAAACACTGCAACAGAAACGAAGAATGCCTTTGGTGGACTCAGCAGTAGACTGCACATGACTAAGGAAAAAATCAGTGAGCCTGAAACTATGTCAATAGAAACTTCCCAATCTGATAAGCAAAAAGAAAAAAGAATGAAAGAAAACAAGGTGGAATATTCAGTTACAATGAAATTAAATAAACTCATGAGCATAGATAATAGTAAAATGTAGTAAAATAATTAGAGATGAGTTTTTAGTATTTACTACCTTTATTTTTAATATGACTTAATTAAAAGTTTAAATAGTTTAATTTTTAATAATGGCTTAACAACCAACTCACAAAATTAATGAAAATTTAACAAGTTCCCCAAAGTCGGTATGGATTGGCACACCACTGCTGAAATAACTTAAAGACTCATTGGAAGTATCCCTTTTTTTTGTTGGTTGTTTGTTTTCTGTTTTTAGAGACAGGGTCTCACTCTCTCTCCCAGGCTAGAGTGCAGTGGCATGATTATAGCTCACTGCAATCTCGAACTCCTGGGGTGAAGCCATCCTCATGCCTCCACCTCCCAAAGTGCTAGGAGTACAGACCTGAGCCACCACTTTACAGGTTTAAACACTGTTTGTTAAGGTTCCATTATGTGCTGAACACTAGGCTAAGGAAAAAAATTAAAAACTGAGGCTTAATTAATCTATTCGAAGTCAGATACCTACTATATGGCAAAACTAAGATTTGAGCCCGGGTTAGTGCTCTTTCTACTCACTGCCTTCTGAAGCTTACAGTATAAGACTCAGTCAAAAAAAAGGGTACTAACAATTGATACCTGCATTTTCCTGAAGTAATTTAGCCCACTCCACCTCCACTGTGAACCCATAAATCCTATGCCTCATTAGACAAAGGCAGTGTCAACCATGGTAACTCTTCAGGACATTACCATGGTTACTGAACACAGAGTCCAGTCCTTCAGCCTAGACATTCCAGAAGAGGTCACCGAGGAGCTGAGATGGCCTTCTTCAACTTATATCTATTGGGATATCAAAATTCCTTTCGGAACAAAAAAAAGGACACAACTGAAGAAACAAGTAAGGGGAATATTGAGTAGAGGGTTAGAAGGGCCACTTCTTTTCCTAGCCACTTCTTAGCCATTTGTTTTCCATCACATGTGAAGGAAATTAAGTGTAGGTAGGTACTGAAGCAAAAGTTGTATAGGGACGGAGGAAGAGGTGACTGGGAAAGAATAAAAGCACAAAGTTATGCACAAGTTCGACAATCTTATGTAGGCCTCCATTGGACACTCTCTGTCCTCTTTGTCATTCCATCAAAGAAGTCCTGTTTTACTATCTAGCTTCCTGATAAGATTTGTACAAAGGGCCCCCGATGAATTTAGAAGCACCCAATAGCCCAATACCAACCCTCTTCTGCCCCCCCCCCAGCTGGGTGCCAGCATTATTCCATGAGGCTATTCTTGTCTTCAGTTAAAGAGGAGCTCTTCCCTACTCGCTTTCAGAAAAACATACCCTTCAGGAAACCCACAAATATCACTTCTTCCAGGCCAAGAATAAGTCTCTCCTGGCTGCTCCAGTTCTACCTGCCCTTACTAAATGGGACTCCCTTACCATGAAGAAACTGAACACTCAGCCTGGGGTTTTTCCACCCAGTCAGCTTCTTAAACACTGGCGAACAAGACTTGATACCAATCCAAAGAGTCCCAGGTCTCAATTCTTTATAGGCTAGGAAGACTTCACTTGCTAGAGAGGATTTCCACTTGCTAATTTCTAATTAAATCCTTTATAGTCCAGAGTCCTCTATGCTATCCTGTGGTCCCCAACCCCAGGCTGCGGCCTGGTACCTGTCTGTGGCCTGTTAGGAACTGGGCTGCACATCACTGCCTGAGCTCTGCCTCCCTCTTCCCGTCTTCCCCATCCCCCACCCCACCCCCATCTGTGGAAAAATTGTCTTCCATGACACTGGTCCCTGGTACCAAAAAGGTTGGGGACCACTACTCTATGGGATGATTGATAGGGAAGTGTCCTGATGTCATCTGCTTATCCAGGTTTTCTCATTCTGGTGGCAGAGCATCAGAGGCAGGAGGCTTGGCCAAACTGGTGGTCTAGAATTTAAACTTAGAAGACCGGACATCGAATTTGCTACCTCTGCTTCCTACTTACTTCCCCTCACCCTTAGTTTTATACCCTGCAGTTACCCTGTCAAGATATGGACAGAGAATTTCACTTGCTAACTGCTAATTAATCCATAGTTTTGTTGGCTCTGGCATTTAATAATAAACAACTATTTATTATGCACTGTGTGCCAGGCACCATACTAAGCATTCTGCATTCTTAATTTAATTTAATCTTCTAACATTTCCTGTGAGGTAGGTTTTACTATTCCCTTTTTACCAATAAGAAAACTGGGGCTCAAAGAGGCTATTTATTTACCCCAAATCACAGCAATAGAGTCAGAATTTGATTCCAAATTGTCTAACATCTCTGCCTATACTCTTAAACACTTTGTTATTTATGGGGACAAATGATGTAGGTCTCTTCCTGTGAGCAGGCCACCATACAAATGATTGATGGTCATCTTTTCTAGGAGAATCTATTAACCTGTAAACCCTGAGTTTGAATGTCAGGTGGGCTTTCATATAGAATGATTCACTGTTCCCCAAAAAGTAGTTCTCAAGATTGCCAGGAGCCCACCGTTCACTGGAGCTAAATGGTAAGTTTGCTAGTGGCCAGGATTGTTAACTTGAAAACTCTTATATGGAGTCAAAACCTTGCAACCTGTTCACATAGCCCCTGGGCAACTTCCTAAGAGAGTTGTAACATTCTACAACTTCAGAATAGTGTTCTGCAAGGGAAAAAGTAACTGGATGGATTCTTTTCTGATCTCTCCCACCCCCACCATCACTCTCATGAAAGAATCATAATTAAGGCCGGGCGCGGTGGCTCACGCCTGTAATCCTAGCACTCTGGGAGGCCGAGGCAGGCGGATCGTTTGAGCTCAGGAGTTCGAGACCAGCCTGAGCAAGAGCGAGACCGCGTCTCTACCAAAAATAGAAAGAAATTAATTGGACAGCTAAAAATATATAGAAAAAATTAGCCGGGCATGGTGACACGTGCCTGTAGTCCCAGCTACCTGGGAGGCTGAGGCAGGAGGATTGCTTGAGCCCAGGAGTTTGAGGTTGCTGTGAGCTAGGCTGACGCCATGGCACTCTAGCCTGGGCAACAGAGTGAGACTCTGTCTCAAAAAAAAAAAAAAAAACAAAAACCCTAACATTCAGAAAGAATCATAATTAAGTAGTCCAACTACTCTATGCAGATAACAAAACAATAGTTTGATTTGTTTCCTGTGCTTAAAACTCAAACTTTGCTGAAGTTATTGGTGAAAACTCAATGCTAGGAGTTCATCCAACCAATTCATATTCATCCAAAGAAAATGGGAATTTCACTTCTGGGACAAGAACTTAATGAAGTCATCATTTGACAGGGCAGCCAGTTACCACTGATCCCATTCTTGTGGGAGACATCTTGAACTAAATGTTACCCATATGACCTTGGAATTTGCTCACCTAATTAACACCCATAAATTCCTAACCACCAACTACAGATCACTGATATAAACCTACCATTAGGCATCAAGCTAGTGAATTTGGAACAATTAATAAGCACTATATGATGAAAATTGAATGTAAAATTACAGTAAAGTATCTCTCGTAGACTACTAGTTGATCAATTAATTTTTTAAAAAGATTAAACTTCAAGAAAAGACATATACTATACATTTTATTTTTATTTAATATAGTAGTCTCCCTTTATCTGCAGTTTCACTTGCCAAAATTTCAGTTACTCCTACTCAACTATGGTCAAAAAAATATTAAATGAGGCCAAGTGTGGTGGCTCATGCCTATAACCCCAGCACTTTGGGAAGCAGAGGCAGGAAGATGCCTTGAGACTAGAAGTTCAAGACCAACCTGGGTAACATAGTGAGACCCTGTCTTTACAAAAAGACAAAAATATTAGCTGGGCATGGTGGCACATGCCTGTAGTCCCAGCTACTGGAGAGGCTGAAGTAGGAGAGTCGCTCAATCCCAGGAGTTCAAGGCTGTAGTGAACTGTGATTGCACCAGTGTACTCAGCCTGGACGACAAAGCAAGACCCTGTCTCTGAAAAAAAAATTGAATGGAAAATTCCAAAAGTCAACAATTCCTAAGTTTTAAATTGCATGCCATTCTGAGTAGAGTGACGAAATCTCGCACTCTCCCATTTGTTAAGTGAATCATCCCTTTGTCCAGCATATCCACCCACTATGCATAGGAAAAAACATACTGTATATAGGGTTTGGTACTAACTGCAGTTTCAAGCATCCACTAGGGGTCTTGCAAGGCATCCCCTCGGATAAGGGGTAGGGGGAACTATTGTATGTATAAATGTAGATTCATTCACCTTTTTTCTTATATAGGGCCAAAGAAATTCTTTCTTTTGAAAATGTGTCTGTTGGTGAGCGTCTTGCCCTTTTACCCCTCAATTCATCATCTACAGTTTCCAGTTTGGTTTATTTAAAGTGGAATCACATTTGTAAAGCTATCTGATTTTTAAAAGATTTTTATAATTTCCCCCAAATCTTTTTTTTTTTTTTTTTTTTTT